TCTGTTTTACAGGACCAGTACCCCAGCTCTCACCTCCTTGATCTCTCCCAGCAGTCTGATTGCGTGGTCATATGTAGGAGGATCTTCGCTCAGCTGCGCTTCAAGGCAGTCCCAGAACGCTTTGTGTACGATCTCTCGCACCCTTTTCTCTAAACTAGTCACCCAAACAAGAAAAAAACAAACAATTTCCTCTCATTAAACCAAGTCATATTTCTGACAATTGGCTAAAACTAAACTCAGGTTTGCCGCTGAGTTTCAGCATTTCTGAACAAGATTCAGATGAGAAACCCTGAAGCGATAACAATGTGATACAGGGCACGTGGTCATATATGAAGGGCTTTACTTGTTCCCCAGACAAAATGGAGTCTCTTACCTGCCCTCTGTCAAGTGTGAGGGCTTCACCTGGAACCCACCATTGACCACAATCTCATGGGCCAGGGCCATGTTGGTCACACCTTTGGCTGTCTCCATCAGCTCCTCCACTGACACAAATCGGGGAGGACTGGCTGTAGCAGGGAAAGAAAATCAGTTTTTTTTTTCTTTACAATGCCTTAGGGCAACACATACTGTAGATCATTTAAGGAAATAACACTCACAGAATATTTTAGGAAAGGAAACTGATTATGGGCAGCCTCACAGCGCTAAGGCCCTGGGTTCAACTCCAGGTCTGGGGTGCCATCTGTGTGGAGTTTGTATGTTTTCCCCATGTCTCCCGTGGGTTCCCTTCAGGTCCTCAGGCCTCCTCCCACAGTCCAAATACATACTGGTATGTCAATTGGCTGCTGGGAAAATCGTCCCTCGTATGAGTGTGGTCATGTCTGTGTTTGCCCTGAGATGGATCCTCATTATTGTGTCACCTCCCTCCTGCAGAAGTACAGGCACTGGTGCGCTCTATACCAGGGTGCATATGGTGGCCCAACGCCCTTTCAAGTGATTTTACATGGCTGTCTCCGTTATATGTTGACCAAACTCACAGACTAGTGTGCATATCTGTTAAAACAGCGTGCCCGCCCTGTGAGACCTACACGGTACACTGCCGCCCCCGTGGGGGCTGGGGGTGCGCTGTCGCACCCTCTTCCTCAGAGACTCTTCTGAAGGGTCCAGGCTCTCTGCACGGTTCCTCGTCTCACTGGGATCATCCAGCTTGTCCTCCCCAGATGTCGGCTTGTCCGAGTCCTGAGACATGCTTCTCCCAGCGCTCGTTAGACAATCAGCTGAAGATACAGTATCTCCCTGGAGCCAGACCAAAACCTGCAGTCAACAGCAACACCCTTTTGCCCTTTACCGTCTTACATGTTTCCCCATGCTTGTTAGACATTTTCATGTTAACCACTGGATTATAAATATCACTATTTCACTATAATATTTCACCCAGACAAGCTTGGACATAAAAAACAGTTCTGAGCATTTCTTGTTTTGTTTTTTTGTGTTTGCAGTGCTGTTTGATATACTGAGAGAAAGGTGTTGTTTGTTGAACAAAATTCTTCCATCTTAATGTCAAAACAACTTTTGCTTAAGCAGATGTCTACAGTTTACAGCTAAAGGTTTGTTTTTTTACGTATAGCCTATGACAAAATGAAATAAAAAATGAATTAATTGTAAAAAAGGAAGGTTTTATTTCTTTCTTAATTTTAAGAAGCATCCTACTAAAGATCAGGTAGAACACCATAGTTCTTGAGTCACACAGTGAAGAAACCAAAGGATCCGCTGAAATGAAACCAGAAGATGTTGGTATTCCTAAAAAGGCTTCCAAACATCTGCAGCTGGAACACTGCTCCATAGGATCAAGGACCCCAGTATTTCAGCACGTCTAAGTTTTAATGCATTTTTCCCAAGAGCACGCACAACATTTGATCCCAAACCACAACACACTGCCATCATCATTCAGCAATGACTGGCACTTATTGGTACTTCCGCCTTCGTACAAAGTTGTCCACTTGCATGCTGAGCTGTGAAGTGGGAAAGCAGAAGAATGACGGAGAGCCTGACAAGCACCACCTGCACTGTGAGTGAACTGAAGGCTTTGCGCAGAGAACACTGTCAGTAACAAATGACAGCTCTGCTGGCTGACGGCATGCAACAGGTGAAGCTAACCTGAAACTGAAGTCCACTTTCGAGACCAAAAACAACTGGACCACAAAATTCCTGCTACCACTGCACTCATGAAATTAGCCTTAGGTTATCATCTTGGGTGTCTAGTCTTGCTAAGCTTTCTTGCAGGAATCAGGACAAAAAATAGCTGACTTTGAACAATTAGACAAATAACATTGCTGCAAACATCTGGAAGCCAACTTCCTGTCATGCATTAGCTGTCTCTACTTGACAAATGCAGTTTATACAGGACATTGTGTTCTGAATAAAGTGTTTGTGACATACGTACAGTGCATTCCTTCGGCCTGTTCAAGAACAGGAACAAAGCTCTGACAAAGGACCTCAACTGAAAAAAAACCCAAACATTTCTGCAGTTCAGAAGTGTTTTCCCCTACTCAAAATCGAGCATCCGACAAACTGAATTTAAATGAGAGATTAATTTCCTGTTGCATTCCAGTTGGCCTCATGAAGGGACTTCTGAAGGAACTTAAATCAACCCTTCAGAATTTAAATGGAACCAAGATACCTAAAATATAGCTCTCCAGTGCCTCACCTTGTTTTTTTGAGCAGGAATACCAATAAGTAGGACGGCACATAGCCCATGCTTCCTACAGTATCAGAATTATTACCCTGTATAAGGAATTAAGAAACCCCCGATGGGAATTCATTGTAAACCACAATACCCACAGAAGACAGGTTCTTGGCAGTTACACTTGGAACACTGCTGTGACTTGTGGATAAATCTAATCTTATCCTATAATATTTTATGGATTATTTAGATTTATTTTTCAGCCGTTGATATGTTTAGCTGTAAACGACTGACTGAATCAGTGCCATCTGGGTGAGCAAAGGTAAAAATAATCAATTTAGGAATGCATACATAAGGTATACATTGCTAATTAAAATAGTAATTCACAAAAATGGCAAAAAAGGATTCACAACAGTATATGATACGTTTTGTTTAGCTGGAGGACGCGTTTAATCCAACAATGCGCCATGTTATTCAATTACTATAATATGTATATGCAAAATGAATGCCAAATATAAAAAAACGAATACATCGTTAAATCCAACATCACAGACAAAGCTGAAAACACGAACCTGCTCGTTCTCCTCTGGTTTTCAGTGAAAAATGGAATCAGCTAAAAATAACTGCAATACGGAGTTAAATTGTAATAACGTCCTTGGCCTTTGCAACCAAAGAATATGGTGCGCCTTTAGATTTCGCTGGAAATAAAGTGCTATAGAAAGAATAAGATTCTTCCAGAATCAAACGAATACAGCCGGTATAATATAGGAAATTATCGAGCACGCCACCTCCCAGCTCAAACAGACGACGCTGCCATCTCTATTTACGGAAATGACGTTCCTACAGTCGGCACGGCTACATGGGAATTGTAGTTTTATTTTTGGTTCTTCGACTTTCTTTCCTGTTCAGAGGTCGCGCACTTGCAAGAGAACTACAACTTCTGGTAGGCGGCTTTAAAACGATGCTGGGATTAAATTCCAGACTGTTTTTATTTTCCCCCTCAACGCCCTCCCAGTCGTAGTTACTGTGCTGGGAATGTGACGGTCGTCGATATTATCTGTGCAACAGCTCCCTTAACCCGATCTTAAAATAAGTTCTTGAATATCGTCGGAAAAGAGGATTCCTCTTCCTTGCATGTGTTTTTCTTTATACGGGAATCAACTGGCGACCTCAAGCGGCAGATCCGTTTTTATTTTACTTTGCGCAGAACGCGGTCCTGCACTGGTTCGAATGGCAATGGGATCTGACGAAACCCACTTCCCAGATTTGAAAGCTTACAATAAAGCATTCAATTGCATCTGGTGTAGATCAGTATTAAATGTTCTTTAAGTTAGTTTAATGGTAATATACTGCAGTGCGATTGTGCGTTCTCCACCCTGCTATTATCCCTGGCGAATTGACATTCAGATAGCTTTTGTCATTCTGATTCGGCTACAAAGAGATGTATTCATAAGCGCAGGAAATGCAGAACTTTTGACCTTGGAAACAGACGGACATGTGGATTTCACGTCTGGTGGGGAAAAAAAAAAAAGTCCAAATCATTTATAACATCATTTAAAAATAATCGTTCATATAGCTGGAGTTTTTGGTCTCCAAGGAGTCCACCAACAGGCAAAGATTAGAGGAAGATGCAATCTAATATGAAGATAGCAGTTCTAAAATGCAAAATCATTTCCCCTGCAGAATAAAATGCCAAGTATTTTGAAGTGCAGCTTGAATTTATTGAAACCAAAATGCCAATATTTAATGACTGTGGCACGCATATCGAATGGCTTGAGTCACTACGTGGGGGAAAAAAAAAATGAACTGTGGTTAGGACCAAAAAGTCAAATTAAGATGAAGCAGCAGTGTAAAAATTAGAATACTTTATTCTTATAATTTAAACATTTACATAGCTCTAAATACAAGACATATACAGAGTTTTACAATACAAAGTGGCGCAGTTACATACAGACATTAGGTGCTCGGTTTCCAAAATATTGTATAAAAATGTCAGGATGGCTTTTGTAAAACTGACCCAGGACACGTTTCTTCTCTTTTGTGGAAAGCTTTGGGTTTTCGTGGATCGTTCTGAGCAAGACCCACAGCTCATCCTTTGTGGTTTTTAACGTGGTTTCAGAGTAGGCCTGGCTAGAGACCCTCTGACAGAAAGTGGAGCCTGAGAACAGGGGGAGAGAAAATAGGTTACTAGGGTCCTATTAAAATTGTGCAGGTGCCTTTATCTGACAGGCCCCTTTTTTAAAAAAGTGACTTACATTTGCATGGCTGTCAGTTTTACTCAAGCAACTCAGGTGAAGTACTCAGGGGGGACAGCAGTGCTCCACTCTCCATACTTGAGCTCCCAGTATCTAGTTATAGTACATGTGCTTTACATGTAATATGTAACCACCCTGCCCCTTTCAGATTTTTGTGAGGAGTTTCCGTCTAGAAAAAGTTTTACAGATCCTGTTTGTCTTAACCCTGCGTTGATTGGCAAAATAAACAAATACCTGTAGCCTGGTCAGGGTCTTTCCCACGTACAAGACAAGCCAGCTTATCACTGACAAGCTTGTGCAAAGATCCTGGAATCTGAAACACGCATGAAGAGAACAATTGGGGATTAACGTTTATATAGGTACGCAATGGCAGCCAACTCCACAATTCAGTTTCAAGTGTAAATGCCTTGAGTCAGAAACAAGAATGCAAATATTTAACAAATTCTTAAATGCTTAGCTAGAGCACAACAGGGAAGTCATTCGATTTCCAATCACACCATGGTTTTGCTGGCACTGTAAACATTCCAGATAGCTGCCATACAAGAATGTGGTTTATGAATTCCCATTCAAGTTCAAGGACACCGTTTGCCTCTAGGAATTATGTAGATCCCAAGTCAAACAAGCTTGTTTGAACACAACGCCTTGCATGGTTTTTACAGCAGATGGTAGAAAGGCTTCCCATATTGTTTAGGAAATGGTTTCTCATTCAGTATTTCAGAATCCTTACCTTAAACGCATCTTTTTGATTGTCAAGTAGAAACAGCACAAGAAGGTCCACCTTCCCCTTTGCTAGATTTTTACTGGAGACAATGGCCTTGGTAAACGACCTTTTAACAGCCATTCTGTTCTCAACCTGCAAGAAAAGCAATCTAAGTATTAATGTAGGTTCAATAATTCTGAGTAGGTATGTAATAAGAAACGTTAGGAGATTAATGAAGGAACCATGCTAACAACTGTTTAAGTTTAAATACTCTTGAGCAAAACTTTCTCCTGGCAATGAAAGATACAATTGCAATAGGGGACGTTTTTGCTCATTTTGTGTCAATTTAAGATGATTAGTGCTCATTTTCAAGGAGCACAACACTTACTTTTCCATCATTTTTTTTTTTTTTTAAGTGCAGCAAGCATCCAGGCTAGTCTGAAGCAAAAAAAAGACAAGTCTTGACATGCAAGTTGCTAATTTCTACTTGTACCTCTCTGTGCAATCGGAATTCACTGGGATCAGCAGCTGCAGCCATGAAGCACAGCAGTCTCCTCAGCTCCTCTCTGCTGCGTGGATCTAGCAGCTTCAAGCAGAGCTGTAGAGCCTCCAGGGCATGAGCCGATTTGCCATTTACTGAAGAGAGAATTGATCATCCCAACATCAGACAAAAGGCACGCATGAGTTTAAGGTATACATCCAGTTACAAGAATAAAGTTACCATTTGCCATTTACGCACACCGATTTCCACACTTTAGGTAGAAGGAATATTCTACAAGCATTAACTGTTCACATCTGTCACATCTCTCAGCAATTAGCTATAGCTTTCAGTACCTCTTCATTAGTAGGGAATCTGAAGGACAAGGTCAGAAAAAATAAAAGCTGTGTTATTCAGTTCATCTCACCAGCCTCTCAAATGCAAACAGATATGAGGACTGTGTCACTTTATATCCCCCGACTTAGTTGAATAAACTAATTTTGAGGGATGTATACAAACCATATAGATAAAAGAGTTTGCTCTGAGCTTTCACACACATTACAAGACCAGCTAGCAGTAAAAGTGGGAAGTTTAATTAATCTCAAAGAGGACTCAATCAACAAGAACTTAAACTGGTCCAAGTGCCTAGCTGATTTCAGAGCAACATTGTGCACAAGACTGGTTTAGCTCTGCTACAAAAATGGAAAACCTGGTTACAAATCCTAGTTGGTCACAAAAAAAGATGCAGAGACTCTCAAGCAGCAGTGCTCAGAATTGCAGTTGATTCTTTTGGCTCAGATATTAACCATAAACCCCCAAAGTCAACCACAGACCAGGGATGTCTAGCCTTTTAGAAAAATGGGGACTCCTGCAACATTCAGTCTCATCCAGTCTGGAAGGATTCTGACTCAGTCCCTCAGAGAGGTTAAAAAGTGAAGTGAACCTTCGGGCCAGACTGGAGAAGATCCTCCCATGCAGGAGGGAAGAAAATCATGCATGCACATCTTACAGATTGGTCAGATTGGTCAAGTATTGGTCAAGTATTCTAGCTAGCCAAGGTGCATGTTTTTCACTGCCGTTTTTAAACCCTTTGTCAACTGGATATAAATCAGTGGAATTAAAATGAATACTAAATACACAACCGCAGTTCAGAGTTGGAATAAATGGTTACCAAGGAGCTCAGCAATTCCTGTGTGTATATCAAACAAATGGTTGGTGAGGAGGGGCTCCCGGTTGTTTTGGTTGTAGTGTTTCACAATGGTGTCGTATAGCAGTCTCTTGCATTGCTGTGTTCCCTCGGAGCATTTTGGCAGACTCCTGCTCACGTCCACAACCATCTGATCCGGCAGGAACTCCAGACAGTCCACCGCCGCCGACAGCCAGTCGTCAGCCCTGCGACACAGGTGGGGATTCATGTTTGAAAGGCAGCAAGTGCCAAATATATTCTTTTTTTTTTTTTGAGCAACAAGGAAGTTGTAACCACCCTTTCAGCTTCGGGACATTCATGAATACATCACTGCGCACTACAAAGTTATTTTGCGTCTGGCTGCAATGTGTGCTTGGGCATTCATAAGCCATCAACCCTAAACAAGCGGAACTTAAAAAAAAAAAATGTTGACCAAGTAGAAGAAAAGCAGATGCCAAAACCTTACTGGGACCAAATGATTAGGATGGAATAAATGAGAGTAAACAGTTTCAACAAATTCCGCAAAGCATCCGCTGGCCGACGACGTACTGAGAGTCACCGAAAGCCTTCAGGATCTCCCGGTCCAGGTAGTTGCTGGTGAAAAGCAGGCTGGGCTCGCCGTCCTCGCGGTCTGCGCTCCCGGCTGGCAGCTCGTGAGCTCTGCCCTCCAGCAGGGCGTCCAGCAGGGGCAGCTCCACGAGCTGCAGCAGTCGCAGGAGGGTCTGCTCGTGCCACACCTCGTTAACCACTGGCGGGGGGAGGGAGACAGCCGTCAGACACGGTCAGAGCAAAGCCTCTCCCAGAAGGCAAGTCGGTACCTGCGGACCGAGCTGGTGAAATAAATACTGTGGAGGAGCCATATTCAGGCTCTCTCAGCAGGTGACGGATTAAGCATTTCAGGATTTCTGTGCCAGAGGGCAGAAGGCTGGTGCTACAGAGGGTCAGAGCATTAGGTCTTCAACATATTATAGATTAAACACGACCCCCTGCCCCACACACTTCATACTTAACACACTGTACTTTCAGAAGTGTGTGTTCTGCGATTTACCTTACTATTGCTTTGCTAGACAACAGATCTAGTTGTTCAAATTTGCAAAACAAATGATCGCATGTTATTTTAGAATTATTAAAACCTTAATTTAACAGCAAGTTTGATGCAATGGTATACCAAAGTGGAACCAAGATCCAATACCTACCATTCTGAGGCAATCCAAGATTTATTTTGATTTGAGATGGATTTGCAGGACTCAGGTTTAAGTTATCCAGGAGATCTTCTAAGGATTTGTCCGTTTTGATGGGTGTGGCTGAAGAATACACAATTTCCTCTGTTCTGTAAATCATAAAATCCAGAGTACAGCTTTAATTTTGAAGGATTTACCAAAGTTTCATTTTCAAACATGGCTATGAACTCCAACAGACCGAGAAGTGATTGTTCTACTATCAAAACAATTCCCACCCCGAAAATGAAAGTTACATTTCAGAGACTTTTTTAATCAGATTTGATTTTAAAAAAAAAACTTAAAGCCTCTCACTAAATAACATGTACACACCAAACCTTGCATTTTGCGCCTTCAAAATTAAAACCTTAAGAGCAAGCCAATACAATATCAAGAGTTCCTTTCCTGTTGTGATAGACCTGCAGGACCTAAAACAGACCTGTTCCTAATTCACATACAGTAGTTGCCATAACCACCTAATTGTAGCCTGAAAATTTCTAAACCTAACTCAAGGGAAGCACATTTTTGTTGAGGATAACTAACATTTCATATTTAAATTAGCATTGTAAAACAAACAGCATAAGGTTAAGGAAGATCCTTTATTTTAGCACCACCCTGCAGTGGATCCATTATCCTTTGGCTTTTTCCTCTTTGCATTTGAAAGAAAAATGTGGTCTGTCTTAGCTCCATTGGAAAGGGAATTTAAATCTAGTGAAAGAAACCAGCACCGAAAGGTTTTAAAGCCATTAAACACTCAGGCCCCCACCTCTACATAGTGGTGTGCCAATATTTCAATGTGTTCAGAAAAGATTTAACAAAGGAACATCCATATTCAAACATGCACAAAGAGTAATACATTTTAAAAGTGTTAAGCAATCCAATCAAGTTACACTAGTCGGTAAAGGTGAAAAGAGAGAGTTGTCAGTTTCTGAGCTTGTTACATAAGTTTAAGTGGAGGAAGTCCAACAAGGGATGTCCTCTGACTTGTAAACATTCTGCACTGAGTTTCTGCAGCTGACTTCAGCTTAAATATTGAAGCAACCAATTGTTTTTGAAAGAACAAATCCATCTATACACAACACGTCAATAAGGGATTCCCCCCCCAAGACTAACAGAAAGCCACAAAAAAAAAAAGAACAATTTATTCCTCAGTCACACTACAGCGGCGATAATGTACCTGCCGCAGGGCCGGTTGAACAAAGTTCGCTGATAAGGAGAAGAGCCTCCATTTTCAACACTGTCCGCCGTCAGGCTCGGAGAGTTCAAAAACCTGTACAAGCTGCAGCTGCTGTCCTCAAAGGCCGCCCGTTTTTTCTCTTTGCCAAACACCTTGGTGTCAACACCCTCGAAAACCTTGTAGTCCATGAGGGCCTGGCACACGCGCACCACTTTCACTCGGGGGATTTCGGCGTCCCCGAAGAACTTGTTCTGCACAACGTGGGCCAGGATCACGTCGACCGCTTCGGAGCCCACGAAGCAGTCGTTGTGGTACTTCAGGTTGTGACGTCGCCTTTTCACCTCCACGCGAGACTGAAGGTGCCTTATGATGCTGCTCCAAATAAACGTGGCTCGGAACGGCTTGTTCTCCATCCTGTGAGTTGCTGTAAAAAGGAAAAGTGCCCAAATAAAGATCTGTGGAGAGGCCATGTTTAAGTGTCCTTTACCCTCCTCTGTGTGGTGCAGCAACAACAACTGAATATTCAATAGCTCTGGCACAAATTTGCTTATGACTTCATTAAACAAGTCAAATCATTACACTTGATGAGTTGCTAATTTTAAAGACCCCTTTTTTCACATGCAGTCCAATACAATGATTAAACTGTTTGGAGATCTCTCAGGGTTTTTCATCTGGTTCTTCAATGGGGTGGGCTGCATCCCACATCAGAGACTCCCTGCACATGCTGATATAATTACTCTGACCCACCCTCCATTTGGGATGGATTCTCATCAATGGGTGGCTTGATTTCAAGTTTGCAATTGTTGGCCTGTTTATGAAAGTACTTTCTTCTGCCACTAAAGAAAGTTGGAGTCTCTGGAAATCTAGATGTGGCACATTTATCCAAGATGATTTGTGGATGTGCTTGTTTTTTTTCCCTTAAAGAAACAAAGAAAACAGTTCAGTAAACAAATGATTATATTAACTCTTCAGATAGCGAGGAGGGTTTTAAACCTAGAGCTCATTCTAGTAAAATTTAACTCCATTTTTTGAGAGGTATCTGGATCTATATCAAAATGAAATGGAAGCGGAAGTAAAAAATGCAACTCCATTTTATCAGAAATTAACTAGCGGCCTTATATTGATAATGGTCTGCCTTCACAAATGGTATTTGCATAAACTGGAGATTTCAGAATGTTGAAATACCTGTGGCCGTAAGAAACATGAACTTCATACAGTTGATACAATGAATGTTGAAATATTACATTGCACCCTCATTCTTCCAAAGTAAATCCAGACCTCCGTTTGCTTAAACTAAAAACCCCACACAAGTAAACTGTAAAAAAAAAAAGTACCTTGAGCTGCCTTTTACTACAAATTGTACAGGAACGTGAAAGTCATTACTGAAGCATCTACTATCAGCTTCCATCGAGAGGATTTTAGAAAAGTGTTTATAATCCCACTAAATTTAAAATATTTCCCCAAGGGGACAACAGTGCAGGTGTTGATAGCTCTTGTCAATACCTGCTAGCTAGCATTCCCCACCCCCCAAACGTGTAAAAAATGTAGAGGAACAGGTCCAAGAGGCTGTCCACAGTTTTCCTGATCAGCAATATCTGAGGGGGTGGGGCAGCAAAGTATCCATAATGTTGACAAAAGCCACCATCTTTCAACAGCGTCCACTGCCCTTTTAATCAGGGGGTTTATGAGCAAAGACCTTTCCACCCAAACATTAGGTGAGAAAAAGAGAGGAGGGAAGGTCAAAACCCCTTCTTAAGTCCAGATACACAGTGGGAGATGCAACAGCCATCTGGACACTCAATATGGGGGTCTAAACTCACTGCTGTAATCTGCCCCCTTACAGTCTGAACATCCAGTCGTCGTCTGGGCTCTACATTATAATCGTTCACTTCACGCTAATCGCCCCACAGGGACAAGAAAAAGACATCTTAAGGTCTAGCCTTTTTTACGGAGGTGGGGAGGGCGCAGATCGAGCCTCCCCCCCCCCACCGCAAAAGAGATAAGAATCCACTAGGGGTCGATTCTGCTCTGTCAGGGGCAACACACTGACTGGTGTTTGCCCAACAGAAGTGTAAATAATCACTAAGGGAACAGTTTAACAGCATCGTCGATCCCTGAGGAACATAATGCCGATTTGGTTAGATCTAATATACTAACTGGAGCATTCCTGCTAGAACTAATGCAAATAGATGCGAAAACCCAGTTCCCCCGTAACAGCTAGTTTCGGGAGGGCATTCGACATGTATACACAAACGGAACAAGTAAAGGTTTATTCCATGCTTAAAAGAGAAGAAAAAACAACGTTTCGGCTGTGGAGTCTTCATTATGTATACACAATGTGTCACGAAAACAAATGACACGCGACACCGGCCTGTGCGTGTCACTCTGTCCCTCACGCACAGCCTTCCACGAAGTTTAACACCCATTTTTTTTTCTTCGGAAAGCCAGGCTTTCCGTTAAGTTTTCCCCAAAGTGCCACCGAGTCACGTTGTTGCCAGATTTTTCCGAAACGGTTGAGCAATATTTTGCGTGATACTGGGAACCGCAAGGAAGCAGGGAGAAAGAAACTGTGTACGGCTGGCTAAAGTGATGAACTCACTCGTAATCCGCGAAAGATACCCAGTAATCGGAGGTTTTTATAAACTCCAGTCAGACTGCATTCTGCACGCCATCTGTACGGGACTTTCCGTTTCCCTATTTTCTAATGCTTCTGAATTCTATCGTCTTCAAATTTGATTGCTATTCTTTTTCTGGGACAACCCGACTACTACAACAAGAAAAAAAAAAAGACGCAAGCACGATAACGCTTCAAGCCGGGGAACGAATTAATGACAGAAGTTGAGCTATTTAATTTAGCTTTTGGAAAACGTAGCAAATTAACATTGACATTCTTCTGCCACTAACGCCATCGATGAGCTGCACGCCTGGATAGTATCCCCCCAAGAAACGCGCTCAAGAACTCCAACAAGCGATTGTGTATGGTCGCTTCCAGCTGTACTGTACAAATAACTCAGGTTTCCAGTTTTGGCCCCAATAAAAAAAAAGGCTGCGGTGGAGTCAACGCCTTATTCAAGTTTTTTTTCCGACACAAAGCAAAGAATGCTAAAACCTGTGGGTTACAACTCTGGCGATTATGTTCAAATCTCAAAGAGTCATAAAATGTAGTCGACAACAGCTCATAATCGTCCTCTCGAAACTATCACCCCCCCAAAAAAAAAAAATCACGACAAGGACACAAACGCCGATTTGCTTTTAAACGGACTCAAAACCGACAAAGCAGCGTACAAATGTATGGAGACATAACATGTAAGAAAGTAGAACACCCGTCCAAATCACAAGAAATTTGAATTTAAAAACAGCGATAACGACAACTAAAGAAAACGAAATACGTGAGCCTACAAAACAGATGTTAACGCTGAAGTACTGGAAAAAAAAATGTTTCCCTGCTCAGAAATTGCATTAAACCAAAATAAGTGGTGTTTAATTATTAATGAAAACCCAGTATAGGATCGCCTTTTGGAAGTCTACAGCTATCAGGGCGATCACGCCTATTGTCAAACCAGCAAAACGTTATTTACCTGGTGGTCTGTGCATTGGGCTGAAGATCGCTGCAGAGAGATTCAAAGACGCCGCTTTCTCCCTCACTGTAGCCATAACTCTGCAGCAGTAGCTCCACTTTCTCAATTCGTACTGGAGCGGTGACGTAACAGCGGAGCCAACCCCAAAGCCTCCACCTCTTATTCACATCGCAGGTGTCACTAAGCAAATTAGTCATCAAGCGGCGTTTCACTGGCAATCGACCACAATGATAATCTGTTTGCTGTCCCTTATACCGTGTGACATGGCAAACCGTTTGTCGCTAGTTTCTTGTACCTTTTTGTTTTACTATTGCTGGACTACCTTAAGGATTGATCCTCGGAGATCAACAGCCCAGCACGCTTTATAGGGAATTCAAACTCCTCAATGACTAAAACATGGAAACACTCGTAATTTCTACAATTTAAGTCAATAAACAATGCAATAAACTAATTAAAGGTTCTGGCTAAATTTAGATCAACTCTATTGCAGGGATAAATTATCCGTAAGTCTATCTATTTAAATGTGTTCATTTTTAATAATTTACAATATTTGTATTGTTATTAATATGTTATTTTTTCAACTGAGATTTTAACATTAATCCGCGTCTAATATTTCGCTTGACTTGTTTTAAATAAAAACCCGAAATTGGGAACCGAAAGGGAATACAGATCAGATAGAGAACAGAAAACATTTTTTTTCGCACAGAGCCGTGGGCATCTGGATCGGACTTCCCGACCCTGTGGCGTCTGAGCTCTTTTAAGAAATGGTTGGTCGAAATTATAGATTGACTTAGGTACGACACTACCATACAAGCAAAGTGGTCCAAATGACCTCCCCTTGCGATCTTTCCAGCAGTCCCGTGTCCTTGTCCAGCTGTAGACTTGTGTGTCTTGGACAATTTGGGGGATAGACGCATTTGGAATGAAGCTTCTCTCCTCCGGCATCCATGAATCCAAGCACTGCATGCCCACACCAGCGTGCATGTGGAGTCGTTTCCTCTGTGTGCCAGGGGGAAGCTGTTTATAGTGAAATATGGGTCACAGTCAAACCTGAACAGCGTGACAATGGAATCTCACGGCACATACTGTAGGTGCCTTTACACTTTCTATGGCTGGTAAAAGTATATGTATGTTTCGTATGAACAGTAGTGCTCAAGCACACCATAGTTCCCCTACCAGGTCTTTATTCCTCCAATTAATTGATTTAATTAATCCATTATATTTTTAATTGTCTCATTAAATTATAGAAGATCATGGCATGGTGGCTGTCACATCCTGGAGAAGGAATCCTGCTTGGAGTGGAGTTTGCTTGTCATTGAGTTTTCTATGGTTAATGCGGTTTCCTTACACAGCACAAAGACATGCTACACTATGTAGGTTCTTCTGTAAATTGTTCTCCAATATGCATGTATGTGTGCTCCCTGTGATGGACTGGTATCCAAACAAGGATGTATCTTGCCTTGTGTCCATTGTCTGATGGGCTCCAGTTCACTCTGACTTCATTATGGTCCATTATGGATGAAATGGAAAATGGATGGATGGAATTGTAGAAGACTTTGAACAGCGATAGATGGTTTACAAAATAAAATGACCAGGTTTTGGTTTAAATGGCTGGTACAGATGATGGTAATTTTAATACACAATAACATTTTGCAAGATACAGTACACTAAATAGGGTTGACTCAAATATATTGCACTGGATGTTTGGTTTAATTGTTCCTAGTAAAATAAAAGTATTTAAGTGCAAGGTAGGCTCTGGGCTAAAAAGTTAGTCATTTGTTAGAGTTACAAAATTAGAAGGGGTAGCACAAAACATTCAGGCTGTGCAAAGTCTAATTTCTATCTGCCACCTGTGTAAACATTCCTGTTGAACCAAGACAACTACCTTTTAGGATTGTCATTAATGACGAGCAATGGATACAAAACATAAAGATCTGATTTTACATTGACCATTGTTTTTGTTCAAGAATAGCACTGCACGTGATTTGAAAGCAGTCATCCATGAAAATGGGGTGGCAGAGGAATGAAAATATGTTTTTCAAAAATACATTTTGCAAACCAGCCAAACAGGTTGAACACTTTCTGCGCTTCCTGGTTAAGTCCGTAATTTACTGTCACCTTACTACAACAAAAGGTCCCGAGTTATGGCTGCAAATGTGCTTTGTAATAGAAACTACCACACCTTCTCTGAGTAATGAGACAGTAAGAGCATACATGCAGTAACAAAGACTAATGTGATAATGTTCACTATCCCCTGGTATTAATAGTTCTTTTTAAATATATGATAACAAATAGTTGTTCTAAAATGTAATTAGAGAGGTGTGACTTCATCAGATTGAAAGATTCAGAAGAATTTAAGAAAACTGAGATGAAATGAGACTCATCTGTAGTAAGAATCATCTGTTATTTCCCTCAATGAAAAAAGCCATACAATTTAAAGTTGTTTTAGGACACTTAATGCTTCCTCGTCTGGGTTGTCCTGTTTTATCATCAGTTCATTTACAGCTTTGCATACTGTCTAAAACTCCAGGTACCTCAAAGGTTTGTCACAAGGGACCTTGTATGAGTGGTACCCAAAGAAGAGAGTTTTTAAGGCTTTGGAGTCAGAGGTTTTCAATGCCAGAACAGAAAACATTTCTCTTTTACACCTGAGTAGATTTTTATTTCTGCACTTCTTAATGCAGCACCCAAAGATCTGACACTTGACACATCTCATCACACTCAGCACTTCAGCTTTCTTTTCGTCAATTCGCTGTCTTCTTCAAGTGTGTCCTCACCCCTGACACATGCCAGGCTCGTAACATGGACATATATGTCGCACCTTTCAGATGTACATTTACAGTTTAAATTCGAAAGTCCTTGTTGGAACTCTTATTTTCACAAGCAAATGGTGAGGAATAATTTAATTGAAATTATCAGCTAAGTGTCGAAAGAAACAGCAGCAGGGGGTCAAGATTCATTTAAAGGTTTGTGGGTGGAATAACCTAAACATCCGTATCATCGAAGCCAGATGAGTTCTCAGGCCAGTAAGATACTAGGCATCTGACAGTCTAAATGGCTGAATGCCCTCATCCTGTTTGTGATTATTTCTTATGATCAGTTTATGCACTCAATTGAATGGTGTTTTCCCTTTAAAAATGAAGGAAGCTGAAGTGAAGGCTTCCTAAAATGAATACAAAACACACTCAGTTCTCAGTTCGGGGAGCTTCCTGCTCATCAAGGAAGACGAGATAAGAGTTTGTGTGAATATGTTATAGTTGATAAAACTTTGAAATGTTGTAAACCTCCTGGGGAACACACATCGATATTAGAGCTTTCCAGCTGTAATGATATATTAGCAATAATCAAAAAAGGCAGAAAAGTTTACGCAACCTTGTCTCGAGGCCCTAAAGTTCGGGAGATTGGGTTTCAATTGGAAGAATGGTGAAGTAAGGAATAAACAAAATTCCATGTTGACTGCACCAAATGAAACGTACAATGGGATTCTTAGTTCGGGCCCACTTGCAAAGATATGTGAAAAATATTAATATTCATGTATCTCTTTCCACCATAACCCAGACATTTGTGTTTAACAAATATGCAGTGATTTTTTTTCCAACAAATATACTGCCTTGAATTCTTAACTCCAACTTAAATGGAAATTTTGATAGACTATGAACAGTGCTTTCATTTATTCATGTGTGTTAGACAACAGACGTGCTTTTGTAGAGGGAATCCGAAACGTCTGCCACATTGTGCTCAACATATTTTCTTCAATAGCCCAGTACAATTTAAGGATTTCAAAGAGAACAATGCACATTTTGAATATGCTGGACCCAAATAAGCCCATTTTCTAAATTTGCTTTAGAGAGCTCAAAACCGATGTTACAAGGCAGCTTTCCTACAATGGTATATTTCCGATTTTCAGCCCATGAAAATACCTGGCTTAGAAAGAAAAGGGAAGAAAGGGGGAAATAGTTACTTCATTGCCAGTCTGATACATATTCAATAATATAAGGGAAATTATTTTAAAACAATGCCTGCTGTTAAGACTGTAATTAAATCAACATATCATAAAAACCTAAAAATGGACATTGTGTAACTAAGAATTATAAATTGCTACACCCAAATGAAACTGATTTTCACACAAAAAAGTAGATGAATTCTTTAACCAGAACATTTCGAAATACGATACCTAATCCTCTTTCTTTAGTAAACTCAAAATATCATGGCTGGCAGGTTATGAAGGCAAAGGTCTAAGTGAAGGTTAAAGGAAGGGTGAAAAGAATAATCAGGGTTGGAACAGAATGATTTCTAACATACAGTACAGTGACGTAAAGCACAGATGAGTTAGAATTTCACAGAGAAGATCAACTCAAATATTTAGGTTTAATGAAAATCACAGAATTCCCTATGTGTAGTTAGAAGTAGGCAACTGTAATAAATACAATATTTTTCTCAACAGGAATAGGGAACATTTGCTAATAAATTGTTGCATAGTGCTCTTGGTCAAAAGCAGCTTTTGTTATTTCAGTACACACTGTATTGCTGTGCAGTGCTTTGTTTTGTCTGTGATTACACAACAATGGAAAAAGCACAGGTGGAGCAAGACATTGAAAATATCTAATTTGCTTTTAAACTTTTTGAAAGTTTTAAAAATTGTCACTTTAATGTGATAATTTCAAGGCTGCTGGGTGCTGTAAAGGCTTGAACTGTCTTCATATTATCGTACATTTATTAGGTCAGATTAAGTCTTAATCCTCATTGACTTTTAAAGTAGCTATTGTCTCCTTCTCAGTAAACATTCTTTTATTTATAAATTAAATCACAATTTATTGCAACTCACTAATTTCTCAAGGACCAAATCATTTTTCAAGATAAAAATAAAAAAAATATCTGTATTTTTGGTTTTAAAAACCCAGGATCTTATTTGGTGCAAGTAAATGTACTTTCATTTGTAAATACTTTCTCCAAGCATAACTATTACATTTTGTCCCATCATCATATGATGTGCAAAATGTCACAGATTTGTTTTCAAAAGCTAACTGGTCAGGTGTGAAGAGATAAGACAATTCTGCTTGTTATTTATTTTAACAAGTTGCAAGCTCATGTACCTTTCTCTTGGACCACAAAGCAAAATCATTTGTGCAGTAACTTATCATTCTAAAAACAAAGCAAGAGCGAGCCATCAAACATTGTTGCAAGACCTTTGAAATGAGTTATCACAGCACTCTCTATTTCAGACATACTCATTCCACTGTTAACTGACTTTTGTAAATAGGCAATAATAAATCCAGGTATGTAAGCAGTATTTAAGACAAAGGACAATGCC